AGACTGACCCCGCCATGCCTCTATCTCAGACACAGTGGCCAGCCCTAAAACTGCAGCAGGGCGTGGGAAATTCCGTGTCACAGTTCACAGTTCCGCGGAGCCAAGGGGGGAACGCGGCTCAGGAAGACTCTTGCTTCTCTCCATCTGCCACCACCGGCAAAGAAGCTTACAGTCCAAGAATACATAAGTTATCCACTCTGCAACTTTAATTTCAGCATCAACCCAAAATCCCCAGCAGCAGCACCACAGTCGCCAGCGCCCACCCTCGAAAAAGTGTATCGCCCTCCTCCCCTTCCTATTCAGACGCGGAGGAGCTGAGCCCACCGCCCTCCCTCCCTTCAGGAAAGCTGGGCGGTGAGGCCTAAAGTTTGTCCCCCTCCCTAGCTCTGTCACCGTGGGGCCCTAGGCTGCGGGCCGGAGGCGGACCTCCAGGCCAACAGCTGGAGTCCGGCGGTTGAGCCGGGAGCTGCAAGTGCATCCTGCAGGCAGGGATCACGCCTGCATCAGCGTTGCCCTCCCGGCCCTCTTCTCACCTTGTGGCTTCTGAATAGTCCTTCGCCGCCAAGAGCTCCTGAATCTGGACCCTGAGTCTCAGATTTCCGTGGGGGAAAAAAAATTGGCTTGGGGGGCGGGGGGGCGAGAAGGAGGAGGAGGTGTTTGCTCAACTTTTAAGTACGTCACGAGTCTTCCCTCCTGCAGCCAATCAGCAGCAGCCTCGAAGGAACAGCCTTCTCTTCCGCCAATCGGAGGCGCTGCCAGGTACTAGGTCATGCCCTGCCCCGATCTACTCCAAGGTTCATCTGCCTGAAAGATCTCTGACCCTAGAGCTTAGCTCGGGACCTCCCTAGATGGTTATTGACCAGGTTTGTAACGGCCTGTGGCAGAAAGCAGGCGAAGACGGAAAAAGAACGAAAGAAACGTCTGGGCAGTAACTACGTAGATGAGCGTACCACCTGGAAAAGTCGCAAGCGCAGGTGTCATGTTTGTTTTATGAAACGCACCTTTTCACACCCTGTAACAGGAGGAGGAAGCCCCGTCCGACGAGAATTCCAGCGGGTTTTTAGAATCCCGATAGCTGAGAACGGAGGTACACCACATCGAAGGAACAGAAGTTTGTGGATGACGAATGCATCACAGAGTTCAGGGTTGTGAAAAACGTGTTGCATAAAGACCAGCCTCAGCAACCCTGGATTCTCGGGGTAACAGCCAGAAGGGCATCATCCCTCCTGTTTTCACAAATTTCTCCTCCCTTTAGACTTGTGAGGCAAGTTTCTGGGAAAAAAGCCTAAAGTGCTGGATAGTTTGTGTCAAGTTCTCCATATGATCTGACTGCAGGCAAGCCCGTGGGACATTTTCTTAATTAGTGATTCACTGGGAAAGCCCATTGTGGTCGGTGCCATCTCTTGGCTGGTGATCCTGGGTTCTGTAAAACAGCAGTCTGAGCCAGACATGGAAAGCAAGCCAGGAAGCACCATTTCTCCATGGTTTCTGCATCAGCGCCTGCCTCTAGGTTCCTGCCCTCACTGCTTTTGATGACAAACTGTTGTATGGAAATAGGAGTGAAATAAGCCCTTTCCTCCTCATATTGTTTTTGTTTGTTTGTTTGCCATGGTGTTTCATCACAACAATAGAAGCTCTAAGACAAGCTGGAACCAGGATAGTGGGGTATTGCTGTGAGAGACCTGACCATGTGTTTTCAAGAGGATTGTGGAGGGCTTTGTAACTTTGGAATAGAAAAACCATTGAGTCTTGACATCTCAGTGAGCTTCTCTATAGGAGTTTGGAAGATAGAAACGTTGAGGGCAATGCAGACAATGGAGGCCTGGATTGTGAAGTTTCAGAGAGAAGTTTAGAGTCTCTAGTTGGGTCATTTGGTATTTTGAATTAAGATCCTGTGATACTTACTGGTTAACTGGGACTGAAGTGTCAGCCGTGATTAACGAGATCTCACAAGTGCTAAAGTGAAACCTTGCGTTGCTGGGATAATCAGTGTTGTCAGCTGGAACTGAGAAATTAGCAGTGACGAAGAAGGGACCAACATCATTGTGTGTTTCCTGGAAGTCGGCACACAGAAGTTGTGTTCCAGTCATGGCCTAACTTGTCCCTTGTGCTGGCAGTGAGGGCATCACCCAGGGAGTGCTGGTTTTGAAGGTGTGAAGGGATCGTGGAAAGAAGCTGAGGCTTGGTACTGTGTGACAGGGCTGGAGCTCCCGAGGAGAGCCCAGGAGAGGTTACCTGTGAAAGGGATGTCCAGTCAGAGCAAAAGTCCCTAGGCTTTTGGGGATGCCACCACCATGGGGTGACCCCCAAGAAAAGCAGCAGCAGTGGGGTGGCAGGCACAGCCTAGAAGAAGAGCTGCGTGTACTGAAGCGGACAAAGCTGGAGAAGTGACCTTTGGAGGAGTCCAGAATCTAGTGACTGAATCCCAGATAACTGGACATTGAGTTATTTACACCATTGGGAATTCGGGATCACTTTGATCATATTGTGACTGTGCCCTGGTTCTTCCCTCTTGAAGACAGTATTTAAAGTAATTTTGATTTTTACAGGAGCTCATAGATGAAATATTTAGAAATTTTAAAAAAAGATTTTCGACTTTTAGAGAGACTGGCTATTCTGAAGAGATTGAACTTTCGACGTGTTTGAATTAGTAAAGACTGGATTTTTAAGTTATTTCTGTTTTCAATGTGAGATCTTTGGGAAGAGTGAGAAAGGAAGGATTATGGCTTAACGGTGATGTGTGTGTCAGGTTGACAAGGGGTCAATTGTGCTGCACAATTTATATCAACTTGACACAAGGTAAAATCACAAGAGAGGAGGGCGCCCCAATCAAAGAACTATCTCCTTAAGATTGGGCTATAGGCAAGTTTGTAGGGCAGTTTCTCAATTAGTGATTCATGGGGGAGGGCCCCTGGGTTGGTAGGTCCTGGATTCTATAAGAAAACAGGCTAAGCAAGCCAGTAAGAAGCACTCTTCCTTGGTCTCTGCATCAGTTCCTGCTGTTAGGTTCTTGCTCTGCTTGAGTTTCTATCCTCACAGCTTTTGATGATCAACTGCTCTGGGGAACTCTGAACAAAATAACCCTTTTCACCCTTTTGGTCGTTGTGTCTCATCAGTTGGAAAAGCATATGGATGCATGCTTTTTGTTATTGCCCTTGTTCTGCTAATATAACACTGTAAGAAACTGCTGCCCTGCTGGAGCCTGGAATTTGTGATAAGCTGAATCTGTGTTCTTGGGTCATGGTCACACATCTGGTTCTAACAGAAACTTGCCCTTGCTCCCATTGAGGTGAGAGCTGTTTCTTGTTTTTCTCACATCTGCGGGTCTGTGTGGCTATTGAATTTTCCTGTCAACACTTTAATGTAGTGGTTTTTATTCTCAATCTTCCTAATGCCATGACCCATTAATACAGTTCCTCATGTTGTGGTGGCCCCCCAACCATAAAGTAGTTTTGTTGCTACTTCATAACTGTAATTTTGCTGCTGTTATGGGTTGTAATGTAAACGTTTGATATGCAAGATATCTGATATGCAACCTCCTGAAAGAGTCTCAGCCCACAGATTGAGAACTGCTGCTTTAGAGCAGAGAACATTTGAAATTCCATCCATATCTTGAGAAAATGTGAATTGTATTCTCTCTTTATCTTTATCTGCCATCTAGGTTAAGAGACAGTAATATGTGCTGTTCTAATATTTGGAAGACATCAGAATGGTATGTCTCTACCCAAGGCCACAGGTAGACATCATTCTTTTGACAAGGAGAAAAATAGCTTACTATTGATGACCTTCAACAAAGCCACGGCAATTCAAGTCTTAAGGAGTGGCAAAGATGATGTTTACCTATCTAGTATTATCAGAGAAACAGGAGGTTGGGTTGATACAAAGCAGACTATGAGGAAAGGGTCCATCCAAGCTTGCTATTCTATGTAAAGTACTCCCCTTAGTAGTTAAGACCCATTTAGGATATGGGCTGAAATTCAGACATGGAACTCTTGTTTATATCTTAAGACTTGGAGGGCAACTAATGGGTCTCATAGCTTGAACTGGAGTGCACAGGACTATCTGAGTGCTGATCAACTATAAATAAGAGGAGACATAATGAAGACAAGACAGGCCTTAAATACGCAAGAGCCAAAAATTGATAACATCACTCTTAAGAATATAGTGGATATGCCCCCATTTCTACTTTTAAAAATGCAGAGATCTCCTCACCAGAAGGAATGGGTGTCTGATCTGGAGTCTCAGTTGTCACACTGCCACAGACAGCTTAAAATCAGAAGTGCTCATTGAGAAGAGAGAGAAATCTAGAATCAAGAGATCTATTCTGACATTCCTGACCAGGGGCCAAAAGCAAAGGCTAGTTTCTGGCCAAGAACAAGAATTTAAAAAACTGTTCCTTCACCAGCTAGGTCCTTGGGCAGCAGAGAAGAGGGTGCCTGAACTGGCCTTATCCCGTAGCCATACTGATGAATATCTTGCATATCACCATAGATCCTTCATCCAGTGATGGATGGAGATAGAGACAGAGACCCACACTGGAGCACTGGACTGAGCTCCCAAGGTCCAGATGAAGAGCAGAAGGAGGGAGAGCATGAGAAAGGAAGTCAGGATCGCGACGGGTGCTTCCACCCACTGAAACAGTGAAACTGATCTAATGGAAGCTCACCAAGGCCAGTTGGACTGGGACTGAACGAGCATGTGATCAGACCAGACTCTCTGAATGTGGTTGACAATGAGGGCTGACTGAGAAGCCAATGATAATGGCACTGGATGTTGATTCTACTGCATGTACTGGCTTTTTGGGAGCCTAGTCTGCTTGGATGCATAGCTTCCTAGACCTGGATGGAGGGGGGAGGGCCTTGGACTTCCCACAGGGCAGGGTACTCTGACTTCTCTTAGGACTGGATAGGGAGGGGGGAGGGGGAGAGTGAAAGGGAAATGGGAGGAGGGGAGGAGATGGAAATTTTTAATAAATAAATGAATTTAAAAATAAAAATAAAAAACTGTTCCTTTTCAGGGTTCCTGTCCATAAAACTTCATGACCAGTTTTCCTCCCCTGTTCTTATCAATTTGCCTGAATATTTTAAAAGGAAAAAATGTACTAATGTTTTAAAAAGTCTTACCAGAAGCCTTGATAGCTGTTGACGGTCAGCTGTGCAAAGAAAGCCACTCACAACATTTCAGATCACGTCCATCTGCTTAGGAAGTGCACTCACACGAACAAGGTACATATCGATTTCAATTTTAAATGTCTACCGGCGTATTAAATGAGCTGTGTGAAAATCATGTATTATCAGACAAAACATGGCGAAACTAGTTTTGCATATAATCTCACCAATATATAATGGATCTAGTATATTCAAATCAATGAAGAAAAACCAGTGTTTCTCCCCTAAGCCACGCATGAGGACCAAGGTCACGGAAAGGAAAATACCTTGAAGTCGTGGGCAAAGTGTAAAGTGGAAGGAGGGTTAACACGTGTGATTTTTTTCAGAGCTTAAACTAGGAAGAGTCAACAAAACAGATTTTGGAGGAAAGAGTCAAGCTTTCTCCCTCAAACGTCATAAAGTTTGCAAGAGGGGATTAAAATATACCGTTTACTGTTAGTGGTGTTTTCCTGTGAGATTCATATAAAAGTGCAGTTTTACAGCTGCTATAGTAAGATGATCATATCAAAGGTCATATATCCTTAGATCTTAAGGATAATTCACTGGTATTTTTACATACTTACTTGAAATAATCTCTATCTAAGACAAATACCTTCTCCGTGTAAGCAACTTGTAGAGCAAATATGGCTAGTTATGCTGGAATCCCTGACTTATCAAAAACTTCATCCAGACTCAGGCTCAGCTAAGGAGAGCCTTCGCTTCCTGTGCCTCCTTCACTTTCTATGTCTTTCTATTCTGGTTGGTGTCTCCTTCTGAGATTCAAACCCTTGTGTTTAAGGGTTGATGAAGCTTACAAGCAAAGACCCATTGAGTTCCTTCTGTCTTCGTAGGCATTGCACCCTGCCTAGCCAGAGATCTAACATATCAGCCTTCCTGATATAAGGGAAATGTGAGAGGGCCCAAGGGGGCAGAAAACCAGAGGATCACCAAATAATATTTGATCTCATGCATGGACAAGATGTGATGCTTGACCAACCAGAGGAACAGTGAACAAAAGTTCATGGAGAGACTCTGAGACTGCAAATGCTTACTGACTGATCAGAGCTTCAGTGGAGTGGAGAGGCTGCACTATTGAGAGTCCGGATCCACATTATCTAAGGTCATATTTAACCCCCTTAGCAGCCACTTATTGTCCACTTCTGAATGTGCCATAATGCTCTTGTGAGTGTTAGGTAAATCCTTTGGAATATACAAATAGACCCTAGCTTCCACCAATCCAAAAATTCAGAGTGACATCATCCGAAAGTATCTGAGGCCTTGATCTGAGGTTATCCCATTTTGCTGAAACTCACCTACCTAATGTATATACTCATGTATTTGAAAACTGTGGTGACTTATGAACTTCTTTGTAACTGTAAAAACTTTATAAAATTGATACCATATTGAAATATGAAATTTGAGGTTAACTTCAATCTCCCTGGGCCATGATCACAAATATTTGAGCCCTGAAAAAAACAACACAACCCCTTTGATCTGTATTTTGCATCAACGGCTTGTCTTCTCTACTTTTCCCAGTGAGTGAGATGCTAATAGTAAGTGTGAGGTGTTGCAATGGTAGGCTATGTTTAATGTTTGTGTAATATCTTAGGTTAGTTTAGAAATAAAGGAAGGCCTATTGTCACCTTGGAGATATCCTGGGAGACCAATTAGGAATGACTTCATGTATTAGAGTCTTGAGTAACTTCTGAGCCTTTTCAATCTTGGCATCCTAGGTTTCTATTCAATCCATGAACATTGGAAAGCATTTTTCCTCAGGAAGGAGGCACGTGGGTAAATGCTAACTTCCTAGCTTCTCCTACACATGTCCCTCTCCTGGGTATGGGGTAGTGACTTGACTCCACCTCCTGGGTTACCATAGAGACAGAGGACACAAGCCCTGGTTGTACTACTCTTTTACTCTCGGAGCACAAGTGGGTAGAGTAGCTTGTGTTTCTCTTTCCAAGTTGCACAAGTGATAAAGTCTCTTAATAATTGTCCACTTTTGTGTTTGAGACAGCAGAATCTTATCAATCATTTCTAGATAGTCTGTCTCTTTGTTGGGAGGCCCATTCCTTCCTTGCTTCTGTGTAAGATCAACTTAAGTTTAACTTTGGTGCAAGAATTATCAGAGCCACCTCTGTTGCCCCCTGGAATGCTGCTGTTTGGCCCATGCACTATTGGTTTGCTTCTCTGTGTAAGAGTGGAATTGCATTTCCGACATCCTTTATACTGCATAATTGCTACCTGTCTGCATTACCAGACAACTTTGGAAAAGATACAGTTTCCAAGATCATATTTAATCAGAGAATTTGCTCCTATTAAAAGTCCTCCACTTGTGTGAGCATGGAAAACTATTCAAGCATATGGACAGTCAGGCACTGATTTATCTTTTCCCATTTGTAAAGCTCAACTTTCTGAGATGAGATATTAGAAGAAGTTTAGCCACTATTGTCTTGTGAAGGCTGAGAAGCACATATCCTGCCCTTCAAACCCTTTGTCCAAGTAACAATTTCCATCTGTAAACTAATATACATGAGGATTCGCTAAGGACTTATCCTCAAGGCAAGCTTGCTAGAACAGACTTTCTCTATGGCCCACACAGAAATGAGTTAATTTGTTTGCCTCAGACACAAGAGCACAGTTGCTGCATTTAGTGTGTGGCAACTTAAGTACAATTTTGGTGATTCCAGGAAGAGGACATAGAATCACGATAGGTGTCCCCTAGTTAACCATTGGTGCCCTTTGATTGCAAGGACACTTTGAACTTAGTGAGGGGTTAGGACCTCGAACCAGTGTCCCAGAGTGAGTTTAGTTGCCTCATCCACTAGCATTGCTATAATTGTGACAGCTTATAAACAGTCTGGTCAACCACATAGTACAGAGTCCAGCAGTTTGGAAAAATAGGCTATAAGTCTGGGGATGCCCCCACAGTTTTGAATGAGGATCCTCAATGACATGCCTTCTCTTCCTGCAACTTAGCAAAAAGGTTATTCTAAAACAGGAATTATCAAGGCTGACACTTGGAAAGCAAAGGCATCTCTGTGACTTAAGGCCAGCCTGATAGTGATACCCAGTCTCTAAAAAACAAAACTAAATTAAACTAAAATTTCATTGGATTTGAGTAAATGCCAAGTCCACTGAAAATGTCCTTATAAAGACATTGAAAGAAAGGAATTGGGAGAGGTAATGAAGGATTCTGCCATGGTGTCTTTGGAAGGAATGTAGGCCTATCTATACTTTGACTTTAGATTTCTGGTGTTTGGAACCTTGAGACACAAATGTTTATTGTTTCAAGTCACCTAGTCATGTGGGTTTTCCCTCTTCATGCTGTGGATACGATTGGTTCATAAAGAAAGCTGGCTTGAGCCTATAGCAGAGCAAAACAGAAGTATGTGGGGAAAACTAAACTGAATGCTGGGAGAAAGAAGGTGGCATCAAGAGAAGCCATGTAGCCCCGCAGGAGACAGGTGCTGGAACTTTACCCAGTAAGCCACAGCTTTGTGGCAATACACAGATGAATGGAAATGTGTTAAATTAATATGTAAGAGCTGACCAAAAAGAAGCTAGAGCTAATAGGCCAATCAATGATTTAAATAATATAGTTTCTGTGTGATTGTTTCGGGTCTGAGTTGCCAGACAGCCAGGAAACAAACAAGTGATCTCCCTACAACAACCTAGTTATTGCAACATTGTCGAGAAACTAATACCACCTTTCAGCACCCAGTAACCAGGAGCTGTAATTCATGTTTTATTATCTGAATACCAAATAAAAACCTTCAGTAAATAAAGGAGAGGAGCACATACATAGACAGACAGGAATTCAAAGTCAAGAGCACTGTGCTAGATTGATCTTCAAAACCTGCTTGCTTTCAACAACCAGAAAAAACAAAACTGAAATACAGCTTCGCTGTGAGCTCCAAATATCAATTGGAAATTAAGGCAAACATCGGCTGTCAGAGTCTACTTTTCAGGACCTTTATACTGACCTGTGACTTCTCATAACTATGTCTATAGTTTTCGAGAAATAGCCTGTAATGTCTGAAGATCTACTTAGCAAGAATAGCTCACTGACAAAAACTTATGAGGGAAACTTAACACGTTTAAGTTACCCTGATCCCTAAAGAGCCGGCAATTCCTGGCTGTCATTACGTAGAATGACAAAAACTATAGAGAGTTGAAGTATTCTGCCTTGGAAAAGACATCATTGTTTCTATTATGCAGAGCACACAGGGCATAGTGACTAATAAGAGGTAAGGAAAAGTCAGGAAAATGCCATGGTCAAATGACATATGGTCAACCATATGTAGTAAGGAATAAACAATTTGAGAAGCACTTTTTAAAGTAATTTTATTAAATTATAAAAGTTTCCATTTCCGCCCCTCCTCCCAACACCCTCCCACTCCCCCCACTCCCTCTCCTCCTCCCTCTCCATCCCTAAGAGCAGTCAGGGTTTCCTGCCCAGTGGGAAGTTCAAGTTCCTCCCCCCTCCCTCCAGGTCCAGGAAGGTGAGTGTCCAGATGGACTGGATGAACTATGGAAGATACTAAGGAATTTCTCTGTTCTCTGAGAGACCACAGTTGTCTTCCCAAAGAGTGACCTAAGGGATTTATTAACATAAAGAACTGCAATTTCTTTTCCTATTGTTTTTATTGAGTTATATATTTTCTCCACTCCCTTCCATTCCTCTTGCCTCCTCTTCTGCCCTCTCCCATGGTCCCCATGTTCCGAATTTACTCAGGAGATCTTGTCTTTTTTCACTTCCCATGTACATTAGATCCATGTATGTCTCTCATAGTGTCCTCATTGTTGTCTAGATTCTCTGGGATTGTGAATTGTCAGCTGGTTTTCTTTGGTTTATGTCTAAAAGCCACTTATGAGTGAGTATATATTATATTTGTCTTTCAGTGTCCATGTTACCTCATTCATTCAATATGATATTTTTCTAGATCCATCCATTTGCCCGCAAATTTCAAGATACCATTTTTTTCTGCTGTGTAGTATTCCACTGTGTAAATGCACCACATCTTCCTTATTCATTCTTTGGTCGAGGGGCATTTAGGTTGTTTCCAGGTTCTGGATATGACAAACAATGTTGCTGTGAACATAGATGATCATATGTCCTTGTGGTACAATTGAGTATCCATAGGGTATATACCCAAAAGTGGTATTGTTGGGTCTTGAGGTAGGTTGTTTCCTAATTTTCTGAGGAATCATGATACTGATATCCAAAGGGGCTGTACCAATTTGCATTCCCACCAACAATGGAGGAGTGTTCCTTTTACCCCACATCCTTTCCAGTATAAGTTGTCATCACTGTTTTTGGTCTTGGCCATTTTGACAGGTGTAAGAAGGAATCTCAGAGTTGTTTTGATTTACATTTCTCTGATGACTAAGGATGTTGAGCATTTCTTTAAGTGTTTTTCAGCCATTTTAGATTTCTCTGTTGAGAGTTCTCTGTTTAAGTCTGTATCCCATTATTTTATTGGATTATTTGTTCTTTTAATGACCAATTTTTGAGGTCTTTGTATATTTTGGAGATCGGCCCTCTGTCTGATGTGGGGTTGGTGAATATCTTTTCCCAACCTGTAGTCTGCTGTTTTGTCTTGTTGACTGCATCCTTTGTATAATAAACGTCTCAGAGAGAACAGGAATACAAGGAACATACTTAAACATAATAAAGGCAATATACAACAAACCAATAGCCAACATCAAAATAAATAGAGAGAAACTCAAAGCAATCCCATTGAACTCAGTAACAAGTTAAAGTTTTACACTCTCTCCATATCTATTAAATATAGTTTAAGGCTCTAGCTAGAGCAATAAGACAACAAAAGGAGATCAAGAGAATACTAATCAGAAAAGAACTCAAACTCTCACTATTTGCTGATGACATGATAGCTTACATAAGCAACCAAAAAAAATTCTATCAAAAAACTTCTACAACTCATAAACACCTTCAGTAATGTAGCAAGATAGAAGATTAACTCAAAAAAATCATTAACCCTCCTGTACACAGATAATAAGTGGGCTGAGAAAGAAATCAGAGAAACATCACCCTTCACAATAGCCACAAATAGCATAAAATATCTTGGAATAACTCTAATAAAACAAGTGGAAGACCTGAATGAAAAGAACTTTAAATCTTTGAAGAAAGAAATTGAGGAAGACACCAGAAAATGGAAAGATCTCACATGCTCTTGGGTAGGTAGAATTAGCATAGTTAAAATGGCAAACTTACCAAAACCAATCAACAGATTCAATTCAATGCCCAGCAAAATCCTAGAAAAATTCTTTACAGACCTTGAAAGAACAATACTCAACATCTATGGAAAAGCAAAAAATCCAGCATAGCCGAAACAACCCTATACAATAAAGGAACTTCTGGAGGAATCACAATTCCTGACATCAAACTCTGCTACAGAGTTACAGTACTGAAAACAGCCTGGTATTGGCCTAAAAACAGACAGGAGGACCAATGGAACCAAATCAAAGACCAGATATCTATCCACACATCTACAAACACCTGATTTTTTTTACAAAGAAGTAAAAAATTTTTAAAAAATGGAAAAATGAAAGTATATTCAACAAATGGTTCTGGCGTAACTGGATATCAACCTGTAGCAAAATGAAAATAGATCCATATCTATCACCATGCATAAAACTCAAGTCCAAATGGATCAAAGACCTCAACATAAAGCCAGACACACTGAACCTCATAGAAGAGAAAGTGGAAAGTACACTTGAATGCATTGGCACAGGAGACCACTTTCTAAATATAACCCCAGTAGCACAGATGCTGAGAGAAATAATTAATAAATGGGACCGCTTGAAACTGAGAAGCTTCTGTAAAGAACTACAATTACATTGCTTGTTTTCTGTCTGAAACAATGATATGGTAAGGAAATAATAGTGAGGTGCATGTTGTCTTTCAAAAGATATAAAAGGACCCTTCCCAGAAAATGAAGTCCTTGGCCAGGTCAGTAGAGTTTTCATTTCC